GACTAAGTCAGGACCAAATGTCGAATGATTATTTGCGACATGCTGTCAAGTTGTTTATAGATGGCATCAAAAACAAAATCTGTGCCAGGCCTTGATGACAACTGGGTTACAGGTTTTTCATTTTTAGTGGATCTTAACACTTGTGTTAAGAAGTTGAGCATCTATCTTAAAGGTAAAAGATACAACCCCTCAAATCGTACTGACATTCAAACTGAAACTAAAATTATAGCAAACTTGAACGAATGAAATTTCAGGCACACCAACACACAGGATAAACACATTCCTGTGGATAGTGAAATGTGTATAGCCTTGCTTTTTATTTGATAAAGGAATCTGAAAACAGATTTCAGGATTTCCAGGAAAGAACATTTTGGTATATTTGGGACTCCATTTTCAGTTGACATAAACATGTCAGCCAGTTTTCAAATGGAAAAGAGAGCCTGCCACCTGGCATGTAGATGAATATTTGATGATGTCCCTGCTTCTCAGAGATAAGCACTCCTTATTCATGTCACCACTTTTTAGAAGTGCCTATGTCTTCTGGGTTTTTTAATTTTATTATTGGTAGTAGTAGTATTTACTCATGATAGGAGGAGGTCTCCATGTCGTTGGGGTGTGCCCTTGAAGAGGCTGTAGACTTCCGTCTTTTCCCTTTGGTGTCTCTTTTGTTTCTGGCCTTGAGGTGAGTGGCTTTGCTCTCACCATTACCACCATCTTGTCACATACCCCAAACCACAAAGACCAACCAACCATCAACAGGTTTTAGAAGCATGAGCCAAGATATACCTTGTACTTTTTGTTTATTAATTCAGGTATTTGTCACAGTAACACAAAATTCACAAATGCACCTACTTGTTGGGTAGGTAGTAAAGGAAACTATCAGGCCTCAGTGTCAGACAGTTCAGAGTCTGAGATTTAGCAGCCAGGCGTCAATCAACAGTCAAGAGCATAACCAACTTGCTCCATCACCTGGGACAGTGAATGATCCCAGGCTTCACAGTGTTCCTTGAGGGACACATGAGCTTGCACATGTGATGAAGCTAGAATAATGCCTGACACACAGAGCCCAAAAAATTGTCAACAGTGCTCTTCTGATGGTGTTAGGTCAAGAGTGACAACAAAGGGGACAAATAATGAGAAGACAATGCAGAGAATTATTCGTGGTCTGGATCATGCTAATGGTTTTGCTTTTTATCATCTTCCAGAAAATCTGAGTAATAGGAAGATGGGCCTGTTAACTGTTTAATTTTCCAAATACCACCCTGGCAACACCAAACCTGCCAATACCTTGACATGTGACCTCCTCCTCCTCCTCCAACTTCAAAACTCAGGAAGAGAAGAAAACGTGTCTGTTGTTGAAGCCACCCGGTTTGTGGTCTCTTGTTATGGCATCAGGGTCAAGACACTCAGTAACCTGAGATGGAAAGGAACTACATGGGAGCGGATGCTACACCTCCATCTGCCAGTCCCTACCCATGCCCCAGAGCAGTGAGCACAGGCTGTCCTCCAGGGACACCTCCCATCCACAACTGGAAAGCAGACTTTGCTGACCATGACCTCATAGGAGAAACAGAAACTTACATTGCCATGGTCCAAACGCTCATGGGCAACTGTGTTTCCATCCAGTCTGACCACTGCACCCGTTTTTAATTCTACCATTTCTACATCTTATTTGTGCAGCCCTGGTGACCTGAGTTGGATCCCTGGAAACAGTGTGAAGCATTCACACTTACTGAAAACATATATGCCCGAACATGAATGAACCCTTGCATTTTCTGAAGTTTCTAAAACATGCTATTTTTCTAATTAGGAAAATCCATGTATCTGAAATGCTGCCAAATGACTGCTGTTGGTGGCAAAGAAAGTATTTGGAAATAATTACAGAATTTATGCAGAGAGGTGGTAGCAGCTGGACACTTGATCCTAGCTCTCAGTTCATGCAGACTTCTTGAAAGACCAAGAAGTAAATTGGTATCCATGTTCACTTTTACTAAACAAAGTAAAATGGTAGGTCTAAAAGTCAATTTATATGTACACCATATACATATTTAGTCTCTCTCCCTCTCTTCCTCTATCTGCCCATTTCTCAGGAACCTGCTCTCTCCTGCCTGGTTCTGGGCAACAACAGGGAACCCTGATACCCACTGGTAATGGAAAAAATGGAGCCGATCCCCTGATTCCTGTGACCAAGTGGGACGTAGGAGAGAAATGGGTGAAGAATGACTGGGAGAAAGGAATGCCACAGCCCTGTTTCCTGCGAGCACTGGGACAGAAAACCACACGACTACTACAACAGTGAGAAACTTTATGCATATATCTTCATCGTCAGTACAGTTCTTCAGAACGAGACGAGAGAGAGAAAAAGGAGAACATTGTTCCAAACAGTTACAGCCATAGGTCGACATTACAAAACAGGTTTAGATCTAGAGAGGGCTGAGGTGCAGTGTTGTCTCCCCCAAAAAAGTGCTGAGGGGACACGGGCAGATGTGGAGATAAACTCCTACAGTTAAGTTCTTCTGGTGTTTGCATACAGTGTCCAACAAGCGGGGAAGACGGCGAGTCGGTACGGGCCTTTGTACATGCTGTGTGGGAGAGGCTATGAGTTCTAAGAGGCAAGGCTCGCAAATGGGCCTGCTCATATTGTGACTACTTGGTACAGTGCATGCGCGGTGTTGGTACAGGGAGCTTTAACGGGGATCTGTTGCGTTTTCTAAAGTAACATGGTCATTTTTACTGCAAAAAACCACTTCCCTTCCAACTACCCATTCAACCAACACTCACCCCATACCCTGTATGGGTCTCTTTTGTCCCTTTCTCAAAAAGGTAAGAGGAGATACTGATAGAACAGCTGGTAGTCAGCCCTAGCTGATCTCCTGCCTCCAGCCTCCAAACATCCAGACTCTCAGGAGCCAGGGAGCTTGATAGAGAGAAAACAACTTCCTATTCAAGTCAGACATGGCTGACAGTTGGGGGAGGGGCTTAATTGGGATGATCAGGAGAAGAGATGATAATGAGATGAACAGTTGCTATCTAAAGTTTATCAGATAAAAATTCTTTTCTTGTGCTTAGCTTTAGGAAACAGTGGGTTCTATCACCTGGGAGTGGTATGCAAAGCAAGCCCAATACCCTGACCCCACATCCTCTGCCCCCACCCCAACCCACATCCTTCCTCAGGCTTCGGAAAAACATGGTTGCCTGTTAAGATGCTGCCAAGCTAACTTCAGATAGAACTCCAACCCAAACTATAATAACTTATTAGCTATTTATTCCATCTCCAGGTCCTTTGGGACAAAAATACCATATAGGGGATGAAATGTGTCATTCCTGTACAGGTTTTCATTCACAAAAGCCCACACAATTCCACAAATGAGTACCTCTCATTGTAAAAAGCCCCCTCTGAAACCAGCTCTGGCTTCAGAATTGGAGAACCAACTTGCTCAAATGAACGCTTGGCTTCACAATATTCCTGCCTACTCGCCAAAGGCTTCCAGAGACAAAGGCAAAGATGTCACACTATTCTGCTAGTGACAGTGGCGGATTGAGTGGGGAATCCTTCATTTAGGCAAGGGAGAGGTGCACAAAGCATTTTGAAAAGGAACCAAATTTTCATGGTGAGGAGGTTTCACAGCTCATCCTGTAAACGCCATTCCAGGACTCTGTGCCATGGAGAGAAAGAGCCGTTGAGTCAGGAGGCTGCGTAGTGAATGGCTTCCTAGTCTTGGCTCGGACAAGCTCTGTAGCCAGTGCACATGGACAAAGAGCAGTAAGCCAGCTTATCGTACTAGAAGATACATAGTGAGGTCCTATGGTACACTGAATTATTTTATTTACCTTGAGTAACTGAAGCGAGCGCCACTTCGTGTGTGCGTGTGGTGGCGCAGAGTGACCAACTGCATAGTGGAGACAATGCTACCTCGGACCTGCTGGGACCAGGGTAGGAGCCAAAGGAGAGAGGGGAACACGAGGGAAAGAGCTGGGGCCTTCTCCAGAGAAAGGCAGGGTTCAAGTAACAAAGAACTCCAACCCAAAAAGAACGAAATTCAAGTAACAGTCCTGGGTGCTGTGTTCTGGCCGTGAGCAAGGCTCTGTGCATCTATCTGCAGTGGAGAGAGCTGGTGGGTACAGGAGCCACTTTCAGAGGATGCACAAGTTCCATGCGGAGGAGCTCACCAAATCCTTGAGAGAAGAAAAAACGGGCCTCAGGAAAGGTTGAATTCAGCAAGCAGTTTGGAGTCGTTGCTTAATGCATAGCCCACGTGTGTGTCTCTGCATATGCTCTTCAATTTGGTTATTAACTTCAACTGATGTAAAGGTTTTCTTTTTTACAGGTAGAAATAGAAAGTTAAAGAATCTTGATTTTTCTGCTATGCTTTAGTGTAAGAATAAAAAACAATTTGAAGACAGGTGGTAAAGTACACACACACACACACACACACACACACACACACACACACACACACACCATACACACACAAATTCCCTCCTCTTTCCAGCGGAGCAGAAAGAGGAACATCTGGAAAGTTGGTTGTTTTGTTTTGTTTTGTTTTGTTTTGAAGAAACTTACTTTCTACAGTTTCAAATCTAGCAAGCTGGTGTGTTCATTCATGCTTGAGTATTAGGGGTGTCCAGAGGACAGGAAGGCCAGGGGGATGTAGTGTTTCAGGGATCCCACAAAAAGGCCCTGAGAAGAGGGCTTAACAGTCTACATATTGTCTTTTGTAAAGAGCTCACAAGGAAAATTGGGGGAAATCCACAACTGAGAAGCACACGATTTATTTAGTCACAAGAATCCACTTTATGGTGAGTCATCTGGTGCATGGGAATAGTCCCTACCCTGGGTTCCCACCACGACACTTCCAATTCCGGTTTGGATGAGCTCTTGGTGCTCGGCTCCAAACCTCTCGATTCATGTTTACTGGACAAACAACACAGGAAGGGTGCGGCTGGCATGCTAATGCTGCCGTGCTACGTGGGTCCAGACACTGAGCCACTGGGAGGCGTCATCGCTTCTTGGTGCTGCTGCTGCCTGCAATGCCCGACTTGCTGAAGCTCCTGCTTATCTGAGGAAAGTGCATGGTTGGGGTTCTTTCTGTAGGGCCGTACAACCCCAAATTCCTGGCCGTGGCTGACTTTCGAAGTGGCTTGACGCTAGGAAAGGGGCTGAAGATGGGGGCTTTTGAGTTGCTGCCAGGGAGAGGTTTGCCGGTAGCCTGGTTTTCTCCAGGGGCATCGGCTGACTCTGGGGCATGCCGCTGGCAGGGAGGGTGCACCTTGGTCTCAGTTTCTTCGGGGGCATCCCTTTGGTTCAGTTCCAAGGCTTCTAATTTCACCTGAACTGCAGCCACGTCAACCACATCAGCATCCCCAAATACTGGCTCTGGAGACTGCCCTTCGATTGTCCTCGGAGTGCCACCATCACAGCTGCTACCCTCACCGTGAGCTGTCGCTGCACAACTGGAGGGAAACTCTTCGGCTGCCCCCAGGCTGCTAGCCCTGCAGCCTTCGTTCTGCTCTTCTATCAGCCCTATGGTGTCCCCACAGCCCAGGTGACTCTTGGCCCTTGGCATGTTCTTTTTGTGGACTCTGATGTGAGTCCGCCATGGAGAGTTGAGTTTCGTCTTAAGGTCTTCGTAGGGGACGGGAGATATTTTGCCTCCTGCGTGGCCGGGGATGTGGATGACTGCGTTCTTGGTGGTTCTGTTTGTGATTTTCATCTTCTTCCCTAGGAGGAGGTGATTAATCACTGGAGAATTGTTTACCTGAGATGGGAGGATGCTGGTGACTGGTCCTTTGTCTGAAAGAAAGGGTAAAAAGAAAGGCTGTGTGAAACACACCACGCAGAAACACATCTATGGGAAGGGCAATTTCACAGAGCACTAGACTCCCAGAATCTTTGCCCCATGGATTTCCCAGGTGGTGGCAGAGCCATGTGACTGAGGACAACCAAAACTGAATCAAACCTTAGCACTGGTGACGACCAGTTCCTCCTCCTCTGAGAAGACAGCACTGGAGGCTGGGGACGTGTTATGGTTTAGATGGGGTGTATTCCCCAAAAGGCTTGGTCAAAGCTGGTACATCCCATCACTGACTCCATCATCGTGGTTTTGACCTAACTGATGGTAACCGCCCCTCAAAGAACCTACAATTGCATCAACTATGTGGAGGTGGTTGAAACTGTAGATGTGGGTCACCAGTGGCAAGCTGTTGAAAAGTGTCCCATGTCCCCGGTCTCTCTCCCTCTGGCTCTGCATCCTGGCTGTGGTGCCATGAGCAGCTTTTCTCTAGCCATGAGGGAACCAACCAGGCACAGCCTGAAACCCTGTAACCCACAAACCAAAATCAACCCCGCCTCCTTCAGACTATTTCTCTCAGAAAGTGCTCAGTTAACGAAGTCTAACACACACTGACCTAAAAACAAGGACCCTGCTGATCCCAGGCACTCCTAATGAAAGCCTGATTCCCTGATGATCCTTAGAGTTTCTGTCTCCGAGAAACAACCTTAGAGGTCAGGTTATTGTAGGGAGACACCCTAGCCCAGCCCCAGGCAACCTGGACAGGTGACACGCCCATGAGGGCGGGGTGAAGGGAAGTCGTCGTCGTCATGCCCCCCCTCCCCACCTCTCCTCTCCTTTAGAATGGTAATGTATATTCATGGTTGCTTTCTTAAGGGTTCAAAGTGGAGTTAGATCCTACGAGAGTTCCCTATTTCTCCTGATGGTGAATTCAGTTTTTGTCCAAGATCAGTCACATGCTCAGAAGCCACGTTGTCTCTGTGAATTCTGGATGGGCAGCATTTTCATTAGGAACAAAAGACCCACTCCCAACCAGCGTATATTAAACAGCACAGCTGATTGTTCACTGTGATTTGGGCAATCATAAAAGACAAAAAGGAGCTTGACAATCCTTGGAAAAGAGCATTTCAGCCGAATGGCATCGCATTGCTCTGCTCTGCACACTGCTGAGGCATGGGGAGTCAGCTTATTGGTGACACAGTTTCCATTCTCCCTCTCCCATCTTCCTTGATCAGGACATCTGCTGAATTACTACCTGGCTTAGTTTGCAAGTGCACAGATGACCAGATTCCATTTCCAAACGCTTTCTTTTTGTTGCTGTTGTTTTCATGTGCACATTCGCGTGGGTGGAGGCATACATGGACCACTGCACACACGTGGGGCCAGAGAACAGCTTTTGGAGTCATTTCTCTGTGGTGTCCAGGGACTGAACTCAGGTCGTCAGACCTGTGCATAAGCACATCTACCTCTGTGTCGTCTCACTGGCCCATGGGTTTGGATTTCTAAAATTTCTCAAATCCAAGGATTGAGTAGCTCAGCCACATTTTAATCATTTGTAAATCCCTCTTGACAAACACACTTATGTAGTAAATGGGATATAATACCATCCACAGCCTGTTCCTTGGGCCCTAAATAGAACCCTAGGTCCTTTTCTTCTTTACACCCTGATAAAATAAAGTTGAAAATGAGATTCTAAATGTGCTACTATGGGATACAGGTGTGACGGCTAATCTTCATTATCAACTAGACTTGGAATCCCCTGGGAGACACACTTCCAGGCTTGTCTGTGAAGGTGTCCAAAGAGGTTCCCCAAGGAGAGAAGACCCACCCTGAAGGTGATCATCACCATCTGTTGGGCTGGGGTCTTGGACTGAATAAAAGGGGGGAAAGAAGAATATAACCCCAGTATCAACATACTTCTCTCTCTGCTCCCTGACTGTGGACACAATGTGATGGCTGCCTCGCATTCCTGCCATCCCAGCTATAACCACTCAGACCACCTCACTTTCCCCACCACGATGGACTGTGAGCCATCATGAGACAAAGTAATCCCTTACTTTGCTCTTGTCAGGTATTTGCCACAGCAACAAGAATTCTGAGGCCATCCCAGGGTCACAGTGCCCACACTGGGGTCAAGTTCAAACTGACCAAAGAATCCAGTTACCTGCCCTTATGTACACCTGGTGGAGCTGCTGCTGTTGCTTCTTCTGAATTCGAGAGTACTGCCGCTTCAGGGCATTGATGTCTGTGGTCATCCGCTCCGTCATCATACTGTTGAATGCTGCATGGTATTCACTGCGGCAGGAGTTGATCGCTCCTGGGCTCAGCTCCGCAATGTTGTTGGATCTCAGGCTCTGTTCCTCACTCACTTCTGCACTCAGGGGAGGAAAACAAGGTCAGTGGGGGGGGGGGGGGACAGAGCAAATGGGAACAGATCGCCCTACGTCCAGTATATAGTGCCTTCACTGCCAAGAAATTCTAAACCAGGAAACTGCACTCTAGCATTTACCTAGTGCTGGCTTTGATTTGCTCCTGCAGTCCCTAATGAGCCAGAGGCTCATTCATTTTTATGGCCACTTTCTTCATGATGTAGACATATGGTCAACTACCTCCATGTAAAAATCAGTACCACTTTCTAAAAATCCCTCAGAAAAACACAGTACCAAGATGTCCTATGGCAATCACTGCGTGATGTCCTCACATCAACACAAGGACATATAAGGGATTAACTATTTGTAGACTTAACAAGTACATTTTTAAAACCGGCACCTTTTAGGAATGTCTGAGACTTTGGCTCACTTTGTCACCAGAAGTGAATCCTCCTTCTGCCTATTTAACAAGTGTCCTGATTGTCTGTCATGGATGTTATGTTTGATATAGTTTCTTACCCTGTGACATCTATAGCCAGCAGAACTTTCCCTTTGGCAAAATCAAAATTGCACCCCAAGAAGAGATGCTCATGCTCATGCTCACTGTTCTGGTGAGCATGCGCACTCATGGGCTGCCTAGATGACCCGAGAGAAAATCAGACTTCCCTAAAACAATATTTGAAAGTGAGTCTGGGAACTGATGGAAAAAAGATAGATTTCAGCTGTGCTAGTATCTGCTGAGAATGTCTCCAGGAAAATCTGGACATATTGTGAATTTGCTTCATTCATTACTGAAATTGCTTCTGGAAGGAAAAGACAGAGAATGGATAGTTTGAACAAAATCACTAGGAAGAACTATTATGAGAAAGTGATGGCCACTCTGGTCTATAATTGCACAGAGAGAAAAACTGACCATAAGCTAAAACCATAGGTCCAAAACCTTTAGCCCTGGGGCTGGAGGGATTGTTCAGTGGTTAGGAGCGCTTGCTGTGTAATTAAAAGGCCAGAGTTCAGATCTCAGAACACATGTATGTAGCTCAGAGACACACAAACACCTGTTACTCCAGCTTCAGGAAACGGAAACCCTCTTCTAGCCGCTGCATATACACAGGTATCTACACATATATGTGAAAGGCACTCAAACACACACGTATGTACACAGGCATCCACAAACAGGTACAGAGGCACTCAAGCAGACACACACACACACACATGTTAATAAATCTTTAAAAATGAAAAGGGCCAATAAAAAATTACATATCAAAGTAGTGATAGATTTTTTAAAAAACCTCTAACATTAATAATTGATTCCATGTCTAAAAAACTAAACACTGAAATTCAGACAAGAAAGGGTGTAAAAAGTCTTAGAGGAACCAAGAGGAATCTTGCTGGGCTCAGATTTCCAATGGTCATTTTAAAAGATGAGAGGAGAGTATATATCACAGACATACACACAAAGCAGAGTGAACCTGGCCTTCTTCCCCTCAGTGAAACTTTAACTTTATAAACTTTATTATGTTAAAAAAAACTTGCAAATAAATAAGCATCCATCATACACCAAAATTAACCAGACCCGAAGTCTATACAACTCACTGAATTTCTATACATGAACCCAGTCTTAAAGCAGGTTAAAGCTCAAAATGAAGCTGGGTGGCGTGCACCTCAGATGGTACAGTGGAGTTTGTGTGGCAACAAGAGAACCGATGGATACTGCCAGAAGATAAACCATGGAGAAAATGTTTCTATAAAGACTACGAATGGTGGTAACCAGTCAGAAAATCAGTCAGGCAATTCTACAACACAGTAAAAACACCCTAGTTTGAATGAACCAACACTCTATCATGCTATGAATGAAGGACCACACTTTACCTTTAATCTGCTTTTGGTACTTTTGCAGCTCAGGTGCCAGGAGCCCACTGAAAGGTCCGAGACACCCCACAGCACTAGCAACAGCATCCTCATCATCTGGGTCATTCTCTTCATCGCTATCCTTGGCCTTACCGTGTCGCCTTGGAAACATACAGAAAGAAAAAGCTGTTTAAATACTGAGATTTTAAGTATTTGACAGCTTTAAGTAAGTTGCAGGTTTGTTAAATTTTTCTTCAGTGCATGTCCCACCTTGTTTGGAATGCACACTTTGAAAAGCTCTCTTGAGAATCTAAGTCTATAAACCTTTGGGAAACTGTCATTCAGATTTTAAGCACCAAGTTAGTTTACATATATTGGAGGGCTTGATAAACATCAATTTATAATAACAAATCAAGATAGTAAGTCTTTCATCATGTAAACAAGGAGAAACAGACAAACAAAAAGCCCACTTACCCAGAAATGGAAGTGGGTTTAACTGTGGCTGGGAATGGTGTAATGTTGTAGGTATATTTTTCCCTCAACTCAGCCAACTGTGGGAAAGGGAATGGAGCCATCGAATAAACCGTCTGAAAAACAAAAGAAAATTGCTCAGTCTTAAAGGGTGACCTAATGACTCTCATCTACTATAGAGAAAGACAAAAGTGTGAGGCAGGGGTAGGAATGTAGTTCAGTCAACAAAGTGCTTGCCTAGATGTCTGAAGCCCTGAATTCAGTCCCCAGTACCACAAAAACATGACATGGAAGTACATGCCTGTAATTCAAATACCCAGGAGGAAGAGACAAGAGGAGCAGGTCATCCTTAGCTAAGCAGTGCATCCTTAGCTAAGCAGTGGCCTAAGCAGACTAGGCCACATGAGATTCCATCTAAACAAAATGAAGCAGGCTGGTGCATACTGGGTGTTATCTCTTAGCCTTGATGCAAAGTCTGAAACATTTAGATCACCAACATCATGCCAAAAAAAAAAAAAAAAAGTCCACATCTGGCCCACATAATGGGTCACAGACAAAATAGGGATAAACTCAAAATATGGTAAAATACTACATTCAGATACAAGTATGAAGATCATATAACATAGAAATAAATTTTATGATATCTTCTTTAATTTATTTCTTTAAAGATTTGATGTTCTTGACATACAGGTCTTCCTCTTGTTTGGAAAGATCTCCCATGCTCTTGGATAGGTAGGATCAACACAGTAAAAAGGCAATCTTACCAAAAGCAATCTACAGATTCAATATAATAAAGGAACTTCTGGAGGTATCACCATCCCTGACTGCAAGCTCTACTATAGAGCTATAGTAATGAAACACCAGAATTTCAAAATTGCATATCTTCCAATTAGCATAAAGGCAGGGATCCCGCTGGCTCTCTTACTCTTAAATTTTAATTGATCCACACTAATTCAGCCCTTTGGTTTCACTCACCAGCAAACGCACATTAATAATATTTTCATTTCTTCACGGAAGCCAATCAAATACCCTGATAAGGTGCTGGAAAATGACTAAGCAGTTAAGAGTACTTGCTGCTCCTGCAAGGACTGGGGCTCAGTTCCCAGCACCCACATGGCAGCTTGCAACAGTCTGTAACTCCAGTTCCTGGGGACAACACCATCTTTTGTCCTTCGTGGACACCAGGCATCCACACAGTGAATATACATTCAAATAGATGAAACACGCATGAATATTAGTATTCTGGCCTGCCCTTGGGGTTCTGACAGGATACACCCTCAGCAGCAGCCACTAAGAGCACCACCAGTGCACATTCACTACGTTCCCTTTTAAAGGCGCCCTGCCCACCTCCCATCGTTCTCTCTTTTTCTCCTTCTCCTTCTTCTCCTTCTCACTCTCCCTCTCCTCTACCCTCTGCTTAAACCCTGTCGAATGGTATCTTTTTCTCAAGTACCACTTTTCTTAAATTACAACAAATATAAAATAAAAATAAATCTTTTAAGCTATACATGCTGATGATTCTTTTCTAGGAAAAATATTTTGAAGTGGTTTTTGCATTTCAATGAGACTGTTCCTCTGGAGCTGAGCTGTTGCATGGGTAGGAAGCGGCAGGGATCTGAATGAAAGGTGACTGGTGCCACTTTGTATTTTGGTGATGCTGCTGTAACAATTGACTGCAATAATTTTGATGCACCTATCCTTCTGACTGTCCCAGAACTTCATATCAAGCACTTATATGCTTTATATACCAATTCAAGATTCCAAACGTGTTGGCTAGAATCCCTTCCCTTCGATGGTTTATACAAAGCTGCATAGCCTCCAGACAGCACCACCATTGTTTTTAAGCCATCTGCTCACAGACACTACATAGTTGATTATCCACAAGGCTGAGACACAGCCTAAACTTAGCAACACTACACAACTCTTCCCACACCCTCAGAAGAAATAGAAGGCTCCTCGTGGCTCCCATTAGCATGAAGTGTGAGATGACATCAGTCCCCAGCCTCTCTGGGCTTCTCCTTGCCCCCTCTGAAAAATGCAGGATGTGGAAGTCAGGATGACAAACCCCTCTACCAGGAGCAGGGAGTTAAAGTCAGGGAAAAGTACATGAGGTGTGTGCAGGAGTGTCAGCACTTAGATTCTTAACCTGAGTCACATCTGTGTAGATTTTGTGATACTATGCTTAACACACACTGTGTGCCTAAGTGCTTCATATAATTGCATTAAGAGTGAATTCTCATGTTTGATTTCACAAAGATAGCAAACAGTTGGCTCACGCCCAGTGCAGAATTCTCTCTCTGCTCCACACAGCCTCTTGAAGGTATGCAGGCCGTGCAGTCCTATTCTTGGCACCCTAACTTTGGACCCAAGGAAGTATCTCCTCTTAGATGTCAGTCAGGAGGAATGGAGTCAACTGTGTCTGACCACCACACATACCAAATATCATCCCAAAACTGAGCCAAGAATCACCTGACCCTGTCATTCCTGTAAATTTTTGCCTTAACAACCTAGAAACTTGATTTAAGCAGTTAAGAAATTCACATCATTTATATTTTGTTTAAAAAAATTACCCCCCAAAAAAATGTGATTACCTCACTAGGAATTTCAAAATTGCTTAAGAATTAATCTAGATGTCTCAGTAATAACTAAAATCTGGGGCACTGGCTGAAGAGTCACTGGTGTTTTACTCTAGCCAGTTATATAACAGGGAATTGGAGTCGCCTAATCCAGCCTTGCAGAGGATGTTTACAAGGGGAGATGAGCAGTCACCACTTCATGCCCCTAGTGCAATCCCATCCTGCCTGGGGCAGATGGCTGGGCTCCAGCCGAGTGTCATCAAAGCCACTCAAGTGAAAATACCAGATCAAAAAGAAAGGACCCTACTTGGCTTGGGATTCCCCTCACTCCTTCCTTCCTTTTCTGTTTGTGGTTAATGCCTTGAAGCAGCTGCAGTGCCCGAAAGCAAGCTCAACCACAATCCCTCTTCACCTGGATGGACACACTTGTGTGTGTGACAGTCTCACATGTCTGAAGGCACATTCGTCCCACAAGAGTGAGCATCTGGGTACATCACTCACAGTACTTGACACATGGAAAGCTCTAGGTGTCCAACTTATAGACTAGAGATTTACAAGAGATTCCAAGTAAGGCTTTTTACTAGGTCTCCTGGCGTCCACATGCAGTGCAGTAATATAATCTTAGAGTTGGAAAGGAATTTAAATATAATTTAGCTCAATACCCCTCCTGTTCCCACAGGAGCCCCTCTGGAGTGTCACCAACAGATGGCCTCAGAGGCACTACCTAAACACTTCAGTTATGGGCATGCACTACTGTGTAGGGCAGATGACTTCAATTTTTGACAGAGCTAATTAGTCAAACATTGTCCTTCTATTGAACAAGCATCAACATCCTTGACATTTCCAATCCCTGGCTGATGGGGGAAAAGGGAACAGTGGGTCCAAGAGCTGTCATATATGTGACAGCTGCCTCCGGATTATAGTTTGTCATTCCCAAACAAAGTGAGGGTTTCAAAACACCTACAACCCTTCCCTACATTGTCCTCAAAAAACTTACCCAGGGATATTGTCCAAAATCTACTGTGATCCAGACACATTGTATCATTAGCATTCCAAAATCTCCCAGTCTAATACTATCAATTAAAGAAGATCAGAAGGGATGGTAAGATAGCTCTGCTGGTAAAAGTGGGCACCACTAAGTCTGCTGACCTGAGCTGAATCCTCAGGACCCACATGGCAGAGGGAGAAAACTTACTATGGAATGTGCACCATGGCATGTATATACCAGCAAACACATACACACACAAATAAATACATAATACATACATAATAAAGTTTTTAAATATACAAGCAGATGATGTAAAATCAATGTCATCTATGCAGGGAGGAGAGGTGCAGGTCCAGTGTGTTTTAGTTTGTGTACGGGGATTTAGAAAGGTCTAGGGGAGGTCCAAATCGGACACTCCCTGCACCTTATATTTGGTTCACATTATTTCACATGGAGCTATTTCAAGTTTGCTGACAAATTTACGATCTGCTATAGCTGGATCAACCACTGATTCTTTTAAGGGTGAATAAAGAAAAAGAAAGTTGGCTCAAAGTGGCATTTGCCATTTCTGTCTCTAACATTCCTTCATGCCAAGGAAAACCGACAAGTTTACTCTCTGAACTACTAGCGTGCATTTAAATAGTCATTTATAATTAGGCCCTGCTGAAAAGGAATTATGTTTCCTTTTGCACTGTTGACACGTTTTTATGGGAGACATGAAAACATAATGTATGCAATAGGCTTTGCTTGTCTTCCTGCAGATGACAGAAGAAGTACTTGCTGCTGGTGTGAGTCTTGTAGACCATCCAGAGCCTACGGTGCTCCCTCTAAGCTGTCAGAGGACAGAGGCAAAGCCTATCCTCTCCCCTAATGCCTAATTAGAAATCTGGCTCCGGCACAGCTTTCATTCCTTCCGGCAACATTTAAACTCTCGGTGAACTGATGTGTGACTTATTCTTCTAATAATGACTTCATTTTTACAAAGACATCTTTGGAATAAGGCGCTGCAGTTGTCAGGAAAAGCATTAATTGGGCCAGGAGTCAGGGACATGAGTCTCAATCGAGAGTCCACTACTAAACAAAAAGAAACTGGCAAATGGCTCACATTCCAACTCCTGGCTTCCTCTCTAGGAATTAGTGTACTTAGGTAAGTTCTATCTGTAAGCTCCTTATAAGTCATGTTTTTCTAAGAGGTCTAATACCCACCTGCATTAGAAGGACCAACATTTACATTGAATACATTCCCGAAACTTTTTTTTATACACAGTCGCTTTGAAAGCAATTGCCTCCTGGTTCAGCATTCTATGATTCTGTATCCCCCACTAAGCAACCAGTTACGTGTTTAGCACTCCACTGGGTGCTATAGAGAATGTAACATGAAGCCCTTTCATTAAAGGACCGAGATGTTCCTTAGGAGGTTTGCACACTCCACAAAATAGCAAACAATACCAAATGATCTGCAAGTAATGTGCAATCAATTGCTGAACATCTTCCACACCAAAGATGTACCAGAGGAGGGCTGAGGTAACGGAGGAGAGACAGATGGCACAGGTGGGTGAATAAGAATTGTCCTGAATGGACCATCAGCAGGGACATGGTCTACGGAGGCTTGGGCAAAGACAGAGCTGTAGCTGGAGTGACAGCTGCAGTTGGGAGGCAGTGCAGAGAACCACTGATAAGGCATGGGGAAGATGAAGCACACCTCCAGGCACCCTGTCTGGAAACAAGCCCACCATCCTCCCTCATAAACACTGCTGTCTCGCAAGACAGAAACTGTAGGCTGCCCATTGTTTCCCCCATTTTTCCCCCTCAGTCCTAGACCATGTCCACAGCCTCATCCAGCCAATGTCACTTTGCATGTACTGTCTCTGTCCTGTTCTTGTCCTCACCCTTCACTGCCTCCTTCAAAGCCCTTCCTGGTGTCAGATTAACCCTTTCAACTCTACGCCTCACAGATTTTCCTGTATAGCTGACAGGAAGCACAAATCAGGCCATCTTCCTTCTGCACTTAAAAATCTTCTAGATCTACAGCTCCTGTTTCTCCCTCAGTCCAAAGAGACCCTACAACTGCAGTAAGTACAAACACTGACCTAAAGATAGAGCTGGCCTCCTTGTCACTTCCATAACCCAGGGCCTGAAGAGCAAACCCTTGTGGGGTCCCTTGACCGCCATGTATCATGCCAGCGTCATCTTTCACACCTGCTGCTTCCCTGGCCACCGTTGAGATTTACAGTGATATGTCTGGTTTTCAGGTGGATGAGGGGTGGACTTGTCAGTCTTCACTGTCAACTTGACTAGATTCAGATTCACCTGGGAAACACACCTCTAGACACTGGGGAGGGAAGGTCCATCCTGAATATGAACACCACCATGCATGGGCTGGCATTTGAAACTGAATAGAAAGGGAAATCCAGCAGCCCTCCCCTCTTCTCTGCTCCCTGGTCCTCCCAGATGTGAGAAATTCCATCTTTGTTTTCCTGATCACATGACTGCTGTGCCTGCCCTGGAGCCTGCCATGCCTGCCCTACCACAACGGACTGTGCCCATCTAAACCAAATCAAACTTTGTCTCTTAAGTTGCTTTTTTGTCATATTTGTCACAGGAAAAGCAACCAACAGAGCCACCAATAGCCTATTGTCTCTGCACTGGTGGCTTCAACACACACTGTCAGAGTTTGTGTCTCTGTTGCTGTGATTAACATCATAACCAAACCCAACCTAGGGGGAAAGGGCTGAATTCACCATACAAGGTCACGGTCCTTTGATAACAGAAGTTGGGGCAGGAACTTAAACAGAAACCTAGAGGCAAGAGGAATACTGCTCACTGATTTGCTCAGCTTATGCTATTTTTTTTTCTTTTTTCTTTTTGGTTTTTTTTGAAACAGGGTTTCTCTGTATTGCTTTGGAGCCTGTCCTGGAGCTTGTTCTGTAGACCAGGCTGGCTTTGAACTCACAGAGAGATCCGCCTGCCTCTGCTTCCCGAGTGCTGGGATTAAAGGCAAGCGCCACCAACAACTGGAGCTTATACTTTTATACAACCCAGAACAACCCACTCATGAGTGGCACCACCCACAGTGGAAAGAGCCCTCTCAATCAAGAAAGTGCCCCACAGAATTGCCTACAGGCCAATCTGATGGAGGCATTTTCTCAGTTGAGGTCCCCTCTCCCCAGATGACAAAACACACACACACACACACACACACACACACATTGACAACACACACACAGATATGCTGTGACATGTGTGCAACCCCAACACACAGGCACAGGGCTAGACAACTCCTATTCATCTTTAAAGGTAAAACCAGACATTAATTTCCTCATGGAAGCACCCTCTAACTTATCTCCTTCCCTGCATTCCCTTGGGACCCTGGGAATTAATTCTCCTTCACCTCAGTCCTATACATACCTCTCAATGAACAACCCCAACTTCCTCTTTCTATATGTTTCTCCAATATCTAAGCCCAGGACCTAACTTTTGGGATGGTCAATATTGGAGAAGTTCCAACTCATAGGACAATATAACACCCAAGTGACCAAAGCCAGAAGAGAATGATCATTCCCCGGCAGTAAAATGCTGACTGTATCAGAGCTGCAAGAAGATAGGAGGGCCATCCTCTATGAGTTTGGTTTAACTCAGCAAATGCTGACTGGAAAAAAAAAAAGGCAAAAAACAAACCATGGATTCTCAATAAACATTTACTTCAGGAATTATTAGGCTTTCTGAGCAATTTTCATCTCAAGAACAAAAAGCTAAGCACAGGCTGTGTCCTCAAGGAACTTGCAACATTGCAGAGGAAATAAGATGCAGTCTTCCTACTCGGAAAAATGAGGTCAAAGCTCCCATGAGAGGCATAAAGGAGAGCATGAAATGAACACTTCTAGTTTAGAGGATGAGAGAAACTTCATGAAGGGCAGAGACTTCCTAAAGGAAGACATCCGAGGTCAGGAGAAGCAAGACTGTACAGGAGGTAGAGGTATGGAGGTGGGGTGTTTCCAGGTCCAAGCATGGAAAACAATCTGATCCAACATGAAGACACAGGCTACAAATGGGATGAGCACTCAGGCACTCTGCCTGAAGGGGAAAGTCAGAGCATGGAATGATGACTCTGTGCTGCTCCATGGGCTGTGAAGAGCCCTTGGCGTTTCATAGGAGAAAAAGAAGAACTCGTCTCTCTTCAAACCCTGCTTTGAGCCCATAGTTCCAGCAGTTTTGTAGGACTTCTAGGATTTCATGCATGGAAAATGCCAGGCGTGGAAGTGGGCCACCGAATGATGCTCAGTAAAAGATGTCTCCCTCTCGGAGAGGAGAGCAAAGACCAGGATACATGAGAAAGGCTAGAACCAGAGCCCAGCCATTGGGGTCAGGCAGAACATTTCCTCTTTTGAGACAGGAAGAAAGAAGAGTGAGAGTCAACAGGGTACTGAGATCCAAATATGGATACCCAGGGAAGTCATATCACACTGTGAGTGTTCCCGGTAAATCAGACAGGTTCATCTAAGAGCAAGAGTGCCTGAGAAGGAGCTGTGGTACCAGGAAGTGAGGACAGGGATGAGGATGATTTCTCCAGCCCTAGGAGTCTTAATTATATCGTTTGTTGGCTGAATTCCAGCACCCAATAATGACCACAGGCAGGGACCCCAACATGAAGGTGACACCAAGAGAGAGAAAAGAAAGCAAGTCCCAAGGACAGCCTTGTATACAATCCATAATTAATCTGGGACAAGAGGGAGAGACAGAAAGATTAGAAGGGACCCAAGCTACTAGATGGCAATGAGGATAAAATGATGTCCCAGAATCTAGTGGAAAAACATGCCAGGAAAATAACAAGCTCCTCATGTGTCTCCCACCCTGAAATGGACAATTAATATATAATATCACCAGTTGAACATAAACCAAGATGCAAACTGATCTTCATTTCACACACAGTAACTCCCTCCCCCTCATAAATATGTCACCCATAAGTCTCTTTCACAGGTCTCGGAAGTCCAGCCAGCAAGATGACTGAGCAGGTAAGAGGGATTGTCACACAAGTCTGACAAGCTTGGAACACTCAGTGGAAGGAGAGAAACAACCCTTGAGGGTTGCCCTCTGACCTCCACAAGTATGGCATGGTATGTGTATGCACATGCCTGCACTCACTCATATCAAACAATAATAAAGGTTTCCTTAATCTCAGAATCAGATTCACAACAAACAGCTGATGGCTTTGTTTTTCCCAGTTTGTTTTTGTACCTTATACCTAAACATGTCTAGGGAACAAATATCCATTGGTTTCTTCCTTCCTCTTGTGACAAAGATTCCTGTCAAATTATAAATAGATTCTTGGCCAACGGAAAAACTAAGTTGGAGGACTGGCCCAATACATTTCCCCAAGGTCAGGTTTCAAAATAACATTATCAGTCATTCCCTTGGTCTTGGGCTCCCCGTGCCCACAGTGCCCACACTGCCCATAGTACCCACACTACCCACAGTGCCCACACTGCCCACACTGCCTATACTGCCTACACTGCCCACTCACCTGCATGAGTTCATGGCTCTGCAGGAGGTCATTCTCCAACATCTCCTGGGTGAGGCGTCCCATGGTGCTGTAGAACTCATCCGCTGTTTCGCAACACTCTATCTGCCTAGATTTAAAAACAAAGTACAGAAAAGGGATTAAACCAGGGCATTCATGCTGCATCACAGATCCAAGACCACACGCTACCTCCCTGATCATAAAGTTGGTCAACAGAAGTATGAAGTTTTGCCACACTCTTGCAATATAGTCTGCTGTGGAGGAAAGAGCAGAACTACCAGGGGTGAGATGGTGACGGCCATTCGTACCTACCATACCAACTACTAGGAAGGCTGGCTCGAGAGGGGTCACTTGAGCCCAAGAGTTCAAGACCAGCCTTGGAAACACAGCAAGACCTAATTTAAAAAAAAAAAAAAAAGACGACAAAACAAACACCAAAAGTAATTTTGAGGGAGTCATTATAGAACGATTTCCCATCTTCTCTTCACGGCTCCCTGAGCCTCACAGCCTCAGAGAGTGTCTTTATTCTTCCCATGTGACTCATTCTATACATCAGAATACACACCAGTGGCCAGAAATCAGAACCACGAAATTGGGAACCGAAAAGCAATTATTCCCTGTAGAAAACTAGTCAGTTCTAATCTGCAGGGACAGTGTGAATAGGCTGAATCCAAACCACAATCGAGTTAAAGAGCGTAGGAACTTTACATCAGTCTACAGATTCTTTTCACTGACCATCCGAATTCTTCTCGGGGAAGTGGCGGTCTCCTTGGAAACTATGAGACTGAGATTTTAACCTGTCTTCTAAAGAGGGGGAAAGGGAATAACACAGGACACTGGGCTCTAGGTGCCTCGGTTTCTTCATTACAATGGTTTTTGCATGGTATGATAATTCTATTTGCCTGCTAACCATAAGGCATGTTTTGATAGGTGCTGATGTTGGGCAATTTTCAGAGAGCCATTAAAAAAAACAAGAAAAACACATGTAATGAGAAGATCTTAGGCTCAAGTCCCTTCCGTACCACTGTGCAAATAAAAAAGTGAAATAAGGGCTGGAGAGATGGCTCAGAGGTTAAGAGCACTGACTGTTCTTCCTAGAGGCCCTGAGTTCAATTCCCGGCAGCCACATGGTGGCTCACAACTACCTTGAATGAGATCTGGTACCCTCTGCTGGCATGCAGGCAGAAGACTGTATACATAATAAATAAAATCTTTAAAAAAGAAAGAAGTAAAATAAAATGAGGAAGGACTATTACAAAATATGGCAGAGCCAGTGGACATAATAGAAAAAGTTTACGCTCACCCTGGGAAAATGCTTGGGATGGGTTTTGCAAAAATGTTCTGTGGCTGCCATGGAAGAAGAAGCATCGCAAAGACCTGATGCAGAAGACAGCAAGGCTGTCTGGGGAACCTCTTTGCTTTTCCCCAAGCTCAACTGACACTAATGGGAGGAAAATCATTGCAGAGCCAGTGGGAGCCTGTGAGCAGTGAAGATTGAGAGCTGCAGATCACATCTACCTTCGAAGCCTCTTCAGGACACAAGCAAGCCAGGGGGTTTTAACAGGGAGTGATGGAAGAGCCATGCCCTTGGCAAGGTTGGCCTCGTGGTGGCTTAGAATGTTTGGGCACAATTAGCAGGACCAAGGAGGACATATGCCAAGTGTGAGGTGATGAGTGTGGCAATATGGGAAGCCGTAAGAGAAAAAGCAGACAAAGAGATACTGTAACGGTGAGGTGGCAGAGAATCCAAAATGATTCTGCTACGTGGAAGGAATTCCAAGCTGCAGAAACCAGGTAAATAGAGGGGCCCCTCAGACGACAATATAAGGCACAAGTGTTACCTCGTTGTTCACAGACCTGAGGTCACCTACACACCTTGGATGTTTCCTCACATCTGTGGGGAAGCTTTACAGGCACTGTAAAGCTCCAGGCTCGAGTCCCAGCCTGGCTCCCTCATTAGCTGCACAAACTGTGAGTGAGTTAATTAACCTTCCCGGGATGATTTTCTCAGTTGAAAAGGCAGGGAGGAATAATCTCCCCCGTCCTGCAGGGTTATTGAGAGAACCAAATGAGATAATATACTCAAACTGCCTACTTTAATGATAGCACTGTCAGCACTGGATGGATGTTGGTGGCCTTCCCTTGCTCCTCACAAAGCCACAGCTGAAAATATGTGTAATTATCACGAGCAAAACCCCTGAAACATTTACAATTCATAAACAGGAGCCATTGCTTAGTGTGGGGATTTACATAATGAAAAGCACAAATTCTAGAGCTGGGATGTCTTGGTTCAAAACTGCATCCCCCACTTACAAAATGGGTGATTTCAGCCAATCCATTAAATTCTGCGCCTTCATTCTCATATCTGTAAAATGAAGGTGGGCTAGAGAGATGGGCTCAGCAATGAAAAGTGCTTGCTGAGTTCAGTCCCCAGCACCCACCTTAAGTAGCTCACAACAACCATAATTCCAGCTCTGAGAGGATCCAGTACTCTCTTCTGACCTCCCTAAGCATCTGCTCGTGGGTGCACACACACACACACACACACACACACACACACACACAC